ATAAATCCATGATAGAAAACCTCATGGCTTGGTGATTTGGGTTGCTTACAGGTGACCTGTATATTAAGCATTCATCCTGATTCTGTTTGTACACAACTCGCAGGGCATTTATACGATGTCAGCTGTTTACTGAGCATTACTGATTTGTTTTCAGGGATGTAGTACAATGTCATATCTGGAGCATTTGTCATCTTACGCTTTCCCATGCACTTTGTTTACCACCACAAGTTTGGTGTTGATTTTATTTTGGGGAGGAAATCAGGTTTATTGTGCAAGAGTGCCAAAATCACTTTAATGGCACAACCCAAATTTGCCCATGAATTGACTTCACTTCCAGTTACAAAATAGTGGCAATCTGGAATCAGCAGTCGTCATATATATTGGGCTCCGGAGGCGTAAACTTAAGATTCTAAGATGGATTTGTGAAATTTTAAAAGTAAGGCAAGTAGTAGTCTTCTTCCTTTTCTTTCTGAGGCCTCCTTGCTTGAAGACACTGGCTTGTCTGGATTTGCTGCAAGTTCAGGAACCATTAAATCGGAGCTATCTTGGAGTCTTTGAGATGGTCTGACATATATGACTTGGGATCATCTATACAAGTACTGAACCATGCCCAAAAAGAGCAGAAAGTGCAGTCCCACAAGTAATCCTTTATCTTGTGATAGTTTTGTCTGCTTCTTCTATAATAAACCACTTCTGTGTTCAGTAACACAGGAGGGCATCTATGGCAGCGATTTCCTGGACTGCACAGCTTCATAGTTTCTCAAAAAGGACTTCATGCACTGTTTAGAATGGAATCTTGGAATTGCGGCTTAGTCAAATAGGCTGGGTTATGACTTTAACACAGTTTGTCATAGCTACTCCTTAGACCAGGAGTGTGTAACATTTGGTCATCTACAGTAGATGTTGCTGAACCACAGCTCCCATCCGTTGGCTACCACTATCGCAGAGGGCTGTAGAAAGTGGCACGAGAAATGCCCAAACACCACAGTGCCAGTGGGAGAAAAAGTCCATTTGCTGGCATAAACTCAGGGCTACATCTCCATCCATTGGAAAAGAGCCTCGGAAATGAACCAGCTTGGGGAGGGCGGTCTAGCTCTGGGGCCAGGCTAGGAAAGCAGAGGAGCACTGGGGAGGGAGCAGGTGGATGGGGCGGGTTGAGATGGAGCTCTGCCACAGCCTTCTACAGGGTCCATTAACAGTTTTGTATGACTCAGAGCTACTCTGCTTAAGACTGCCTTTCCCACCATGAACCTGCCTGAACTCTGAGATCTGAGGCCCTTCTCTAAATGCCAACTTCAAGAGTAAGTCCAGAGCGAGGCCACAACAGGAATGCTGTCTCCAGGGAGGCCTGCCTGACACCAGCCTTGTAATCGTTTCAGCACCAAAGACATTTCTGTGTGATAGACTGTTAAGTCTGTTTTAATAATGTGCATGGGATTTTATTTTTACTTTGGTTGTAAATTGCTTTAGGACGCAAGAAAACTATACCCTTTTAAATGTGTTTGTGGGGGGAGGGGAGTTATTGTTTTTTGTGGGAGGGGCTTCTTCTTCTTTATATTATATGTTTTGTGTTTTTATCTTGTATTTTTATGTTGCGAACCGCCCTGAGATCTATGAATGAGGGGCGATATACAAATTTAATTACAGTGGTACCTCGGGTTACATATGGTTCAGGTTACAAACGCTTCAGGTTACAGACTCCGCTAACCCAGAAATAGTGCTTCAGGTTAAGAACTTTGATTCAGGATGAGAACAGAAATCGTGCTCCGGTGGTGCGGCAGCAGCAGGAGGCCCCATTAGCTAAAGTGGTGCTTCAGGTTAAGAATAGTTGCAGGTTAAGAATGGACCTCCGGAATGAATTAAGTACTTAACCTGAGGTACCACTGTAATAATAATAGGTATAACAAACATACACTTTTATAAAACTTGTAAACTGCCCTGTGATCTTCAGATTAAAGGCGGTATATAAATTTAATTAATCATCAAAATCCCTAGCCATTGGGCATGCTTGCCGCGGCTGATGGAAGTTGTCATTCAGCAACATTTGGAGAGCCAAAAGTTTCCCCTTCTTGCCTTAGACTAAGCTGGCTACTGGTAGACTGGGACAAATAGATGTTGCTATCAGTTTATGACAGCAATCCTATACATGTTTAATCAGATGCCCATTCAATAGGACCTACTATCAAGTACATACTACCAGTTAAGAAGAATTGCATCCCTGGGGGTACTTCTCACATCTCAGTTCAATACTATTTCCTGAACACACACACACACACACACACACACACACACACACACGCACACACACACACACGCACACACACACGGGATTGTGCTGTAAATGCAATAAAAAAGGGAAGAAAATCAGTATCTGAATCATCTAGGAGCACAATGCAGTGCCAGATGGCATTTTTAGGGGTTTTTGTTTAAATAAATGGCACATATGAAGTCCTTGATGTGCTGCTGAGATCCAGTGAGACCATTTGCTAAATCAATAAGGAGTCAGTAAAGCTTTATGACCATATGCCTCTTGTAATGAATAATCAGGGGAGAGTAATGACAAAGCACATCAATTTGATTAATCAGATATTTATTGCATGCTGGCAGGTTTTGGATGAAATATGCATGGAAGAATTAATATTTCTGTTTATACTTTATTTCTTGATATCCAGTATACCCTGCTGAGTTTATGTTTGATCTGAGTTAATGAACCCAAATATCTTTGTTTCGCTCTCTTTTTTTGTAGGAAGTTTTATGGTTGCTTTTAAGCTTGCATAAAAAGCAGCGTCAGCTGAACTTCCCTTCTTCTATACAACTATTAAAGGTGAAGGATCCTTGTCTGTTTTGGCATCTGGTTATCCAGGTCCACACTTATGAAGTTTCTCTTAATGCTTTTCCAAAATCTACTTCCCATTTTCACCCATTAATTGCATTCCTGAGGTCAGGAGTGAGCAACACATTTATCATGTCCTTGGTCATCTTTTCTATAAGGTTTACACAAAAAAAAGGCAGAGGATCCTAGTGTCACAGCAGTAAAACCACTAGCACATTTTCAAAGCTAAGCAGGGTTTCACCTTGGATAGGGGACCGTGTGTTGAGATTCCTGCATTTGCAGGCGGTTTGACTAGATGACCCTCGGATCCCTTCCAACTCTATGATTCTACAACTCTAAACATTTCCAAGAGGAAGGAAATCTGAATGTGCAATCAGATTTTAGCTGTGCAATCAGATTCCAGCTCCCCTGTTTACCCACAGGCCTGTCTGCTTATAGACAAATCCTTTTGTTATCTCAGATACTTGGAACAAATGTCTGTAATTGCCTTTGATCCGACTTGAGACTCTGGATCAAAGAAATGTAATCAGCATAAAACTGGGATAGACTTTGCTACCAGGGAATTGCCAATAGTTGCTTTTAGCGGTGCCTCTGTTTCTACAGACATAATTGAGCACGTGTGAAAGACTTGGCCTCGTCTAACGCAAATACACCATTTTGCTTGTAGGAGCCTTGTTTAAGGGAAATTGGAAATGTACCCTTGCCTTACCATTTTCAGTTTAAGCTAGGATATTGTACTATTGAAATTGCACTCTAAATTTCTTTAATTTTTCTTCTGGTCATACCTACACCATAAGTTTCAAGCACTCTTACACAACTTTAGCAGTCATGGCTTCTGTTGGTATCGAAAGGTAAAAGGTAAAGGGACCCCTGACCATTAGGTCCAGTCATGGCCGACTCTGGGGTTGTGGCGCTCATCTCGCTTTATTGACCAAGGGAGCCGGCGTGCGTCTTCCGGGTCATGTGGCCAGCAGGACTAAGCCGCTTCTGGAGAACCAGAGCAGTGCACGGAAACATTGTTTACCTTCCTGCCGGAGCGGTACCTATTTATCTACTTGCACTTTGACATGCTTTCAAACTGCTAGGTTGGCAGGAGCAGGCACCAAGCAACGGGAGCTCACCCCGTTGCGGGGATTCGAACTGCCGACCTTCTGATCGGCAAGTCCTAAGCTCTGTGGTTTAACCCACAGTGCCACCCACGTCCCTGGTATCAAAAGGTATTTACTCTCACTGCTCTCCTATATACTGGACACAGTCATAGGGAACATCAGGTGTTACAGCACTCTGTAAATATCCAGGTCCATGGCAGGGAAACAACTCAAGTGCTCTCCTGCAAACAGTAAGTGTAGGCTTTATATGACTTGTTCAAGTAAAGCTGTTCCTTTCTTGGCAGCTCCACCTCAGCCTTTTTCTTGGGACAAATATAAAGAAAGGAAAACCCTCATTGTAGATCTCTTCCAGGACCTTTGCACGTTCCAGGTAAGCAAGCTTTGAAGTAAAGGGGTCCACTGAATGAGGTCTGCTTCCCTATCTGTGCTCACCCCCTTCTGGGACTCAGGATGGACTTGTTCCTTCACATTAGGACTGCAGCTTACTACGCAGTCAGGTTCCTCCATCAAGAGTTTTTGCTCCATCTTTCTCTGCCTTGACAGCCTCCCCAACCCTGCATTTTAGTGTGAATTTCTCCTAATGCACACGTTTGCATGCAATTTTGCCCATTTATCCACATAAAGCAATTTTCGCTAATACAATGCATTTTTGCTAATTATCCACATTTTTGCAAAGCAATTTTCACAAAAAAACTAATGCATTTTTGCTTGTTTTTTGGTATCCCTCTGTCTCGACAGACAATGGAGTCCACATCTGGAGGTGAAGTCAAACCACTGCGTTAGCAGCACCAAAGTGACCCTCCTTGGGGCGCAAGCCTGGGTACTGTGTATGGAGGTCCTGGGCTACCCAGATGACAAGACCCCAATTGCTGATGTGGTCCAAAGCAGAGCAATATATTTGGCACTGGCTTCCACTAATATATGCATTGTTATGCACAGATTAACTAGCATATGCCTTTCTTGTAAACTTTATTTGGCTGAAGAACTGCATTGCAAAATTCAGAGAAGTGTGAATTCCCAAGGACGGCTGTGTTTCAGTTCTCTTTTTGTTCCAGAAAATGTGCCTTAATTTGAGAACACGCTGGTGATGGGGAATGCTATTTTCTATGACCCAGCCTGCTTCCTCGAAACCACATGGTTAATCATCAGCACTTTTCCTGTTAAACATAGGAGGATACAGGTTTGTAATGACCTTGCAAACAGTTCCAAGTAACGTTTCACTACAGTCAGAGGAGGAGATTAGGATCTTCGGGTTGCTAACGATTCTTTTTCTGGTGGGTGTGTGGAAATAACAGCAAAAGAAAAGAAAGCGCCATGGGGAACGACGGGTGTGATCAGGCGGATGAAGAAAATAAAAGCCAAAATGGCGAGATGCAACTCAAAAGAACCATAGGATATTTCGAAGGTGCCAGCTTTATCGTGGGCACCATTGTAGGGGCAGGGATCTTTGTCTCCCCCACTGGAGTGCTGAAATATTCTTTGCTCAATGTTGGCGTTGCACTGATCATCTGGACAGCTTGTGGCATCGTATCGTTGATGGGCGCTCTCTGCTATGCAGAGCTGGGAACAGCGTTACCGCTTTCAGGAGGAGAATACAGCCACATCAAGAGAGCCCTGGGCTCTCCCTTGGCTTTCATCTTTCTGTGGACGGCCGTGTTCAACAAACCCGCCTCAAATGCCGCTCGGGCCTTGCTGTTTGCTGAGTATGCTACCAAGCCTTTCTACGGCGAGTGCCCGGTTCCCGACATGCTGAAGAAATGTCTGGCTTTGGCGGTCCTCTGGTGCCTCGGGATCCTCAACGGTCGAAGTGTCAAGATGGCTGCTTGGGTGCAGACCGTTTTCACCGTCCTGAAGATGATGGCGCTCTCTGTAATCGCGGTTGGCGGGATTGTCCTGCTGATCAGGGGGAGGAAAGAGAATGTAGCAAGGTTTGAGAATGCCTTCGGCTCAGAGATCCCAGATGCTGCGCAGGTTGCGGAAGCGTTTTACCAGGGGCTCTATGCATATGGCGGCTGGTGGTCTCTCAACTATTTGTCAGGTATATCTCTCATTTTTGCTTTTGGTTGGCAGTTGTGATGTCTTGACTATGGAATTGAGGCTCCACACAGGTGTCAGTGACTTTACTTGATGATGAATAGAGTCCTGTACAGCTTCCTGGCTGGTTTCGTCAGACAGGCCTGAAGCAATAATTTTCTAGGCCAAGGAAAGAGAAGGAGGGAAGACACTGCAGGGTAGATTATTCTAAAGCAGTAAACAACTAATTCACAAGGATTGAGCACAGTGAAGCAGTCGGTTTAATCACACAGAATACCACCTCACATTTCTGAACCCTAGGATTACCAGGGTGTTGTTTTTTTTGTTTTGTTTTTGTTTTAATGTTTGAGCTACCGTCATTCAATCAGGGAACACATAGATAAGTGTTAGGCCCAATTCTGGATCAGTTTCAGCCATCTGAAAGTATCCCTGCAGATGTTGTTGAATTTGATCATCCTTGATCTTTGGCTATGCTCTCTGGTGCTGATGGGAGTTCAACATCATCTTGGAAACCATGGTATTGCGATGTGAGCCAGGGAAGTTGTGAGGTATAAGATCCTAAATGCACACTAAAGGTACTCATTGGATTCAGACAAATCCTGAATGATGATTCTAAGTCAGCTGCTGTGGATGGATTCAGAACTTCTCTGACCTGAAGCAGGATCTCTCAGAAGCACCCTGAACTGCTGGGGACCATTAAAGCTATTTGGGGTGATTAAGAGATCCAGATGTTTTTTTAAAAAGCTATACAGATCATGTGCAGGGGTGCGAACTTGAATAAAATATGTGATCATGTGTCTGTAAAAAACTGAAACATATGATGAAAATACAGGGTGGTCCTGCAGACTGACAGGACTAGATTCTAATCTAGGAGTTGCCAATCCTTTGGGGCACATGGGCTTTTTGAAAGAGTGCTCTGGGACCCATGGTCTCTAGCTTCTTCTCCCCCTCCCTTACAGACAGGAGAGAAAGCATATGCATATGCACATGCGCGCGTGCACACACACACACACACACACACTTTGGGGTTTTAAAAATATAGTCTAGACTCTAGGTGAAAGTCAGATCCATATGAATTAAGACATATTCTCTTAAATTTGTATGATTTTACATGGGACTCCACTACCGCCAGAAGCACTATCAATTTAAAGCTGATAGATTTTCATGATTTTTGAATAGGTAAAGGTAAAGGGACCCCTGACCATTAGGTCCAGTCGTGGCTGACTCTGGGGTTGCAGCGCTCATCTCGCTTTATTGGCCGAGGGAGCCAGCGTACAGCTTCTGGGTCATGTGGCCAGCATGATTAAGCCGCTTCTGGCAAACCAGAGCAGCACATGGAAACGCCGTTTATCTTCCCGCCGGAGCGGTACCTATTTATCTACTTGCACTTTGACGTGCTTTCAAACTGCTAGGTTGACAGGAGCAGTGACCGAGCAACGGGAGCTCACTCCGTCGCGGGGATTCAAACTGCCAACTTTCTGATCAGCAAGTCCTAGGCTCTGTGGTTTAACCCACAGCGCTACCCATGACCCTATTTTTGACTAGGGTGGTAACCAAATCACCAGAAAATTTATACCTGTGGATAGAAATGTGACCCATAGTTTTATCAGTTTTGAAGGGACCCCTTGTAAAAATTATGAGAATGCATAAGAATCCATACCTCAAAAGCATATTTTTGTGTGTGCAATGATTATGCTGGGGAGCACCAGAGCTGATTTTTATGGTTCAGGTGTGATCTGTGATTTGATGGTGGTGAGGAGTAGGGAAATTTGTAGGAAAAACATGCAATTTGAAGAGGATCCCTTTTATTGGATTTGACTTTTATCTCTTCCCTCTCTCTTTTTATCTCTTCCCTCTCTTTTTCTGACCCTCTGTTCTCACTCCCCACCCCAACACCCTCCCTCCCTTTGTCCTGCTCCCTGCTGCATCTTGCTTTCTCCCCCTCCTGCCTCCTCCAGTCACTCTGTTGCCTCCCCCATCTCTCAGTTAGCTCTCTGCATTTCTCTGTTGCTGGGCTAGGTCACTGTTAGCCAAGCTACAGAACTATGCTTAAGCAGCCATCTCATACCTGGCGCAAGGAATGTATATTTGTGCCAAGAACAGAAACATAAGATAAGGAAAGCGGCTGGCACATAAGTAACTACCTACTTGGAGAATTCCAAGGTGGTGGTGAAATCTTCCCTTTGGTTTGCACCTGGTTACAGCTGCTGTGAGTGTTGAACAAACCTAAGCAGTGTACATAATGTACGTATTGTCCTGAGTCTTCATATTTACTCTGTTTCCTCAAGACCACACAGTTACTTCCTGACAGGCATCAATTTGACCATTGTTACTGGTTTTCAGAGCAGCAACCGGTGATGTAATCATTGCAAATTGATTCAGTAAAACACAATGGCTGGGATCTGAAATTCCACAAAGTTGCAATGAACACACTTAAAATAATTCCCGTCCATTTCAATAAAAGCTTTACATATGGAACATCCCAAACACTGTGGTTTAGAGAAGGCCACTGTTGCATGAGACCTCGCCATTCACCGCATATCTGTTGGCTTAGAGTTCCTATAGAAAAATGGTCTTATGCGTGCTTTCTGATTTTACTCTGTTTTAGTTTTATAGTATGGGGAATGTTTTTGCAATGATCAACATAGTACTTGGAGGAACATAAGTTGGTAAAGAAAATATGGCCAAAGAAGTATAAATGGAAGCGAAATTCTTTGTTTTGCAAAACAACAGGATACTGGGGCAGGGGCAGGCGGGGGAGAGAATAACAATAATCATGCCAGCTAAAAACATGGTATAAGAATAAATGTAAAGCAGCTTTTCACAAGATTCAGTGCCAATTTTCAAATTCAGCATATGGAAATTCACAAAAACAGCATAGCCGTGAGTCTAGTAAAAGAAGTTATGATGTATGCTTTCTCCCTTTACAAACAAATGTTTTGGAATGATTTCTAGGCAGAGGCCCTTCTCGGTGGTGGCACCCACCCTGTGGAACGCCCTCCCACCAGATGTCAAGGAAATGAACAATTATCTGACTTTTAGAAGACATCTGAAGGCAGCCCTGTTAGGGAAGTTTTTCATGAAGTTTTATTCTGTTTAATATTCTGTTGGAAGCTGCCCAGAGTGGCTGGGGAATAAATAATAACAACAACTTCTTCTTCTTCTTCTTCTTCTTCTTCTTCTTCTTCTTCTTCTTCTTCTTCTTCTTCTTCTAAATTTTCTATTTCAGAGGAAGTTAAAAATCCCAGCAGGAACATTCCATTGACTGTGATGACAACACTTCCTGCAATAACTGTGTTTTACTTGCTTGTGAACATTTCATACTTGACAGTTCTCACACCAAAGGAGGTTGTCTCCTCAGGTAGGCTGATTGGTTTGCATTTTTTATTCAAGAACTGATCATAGATATAATACATATTCAGTAGATAATAGAGATGGATGACCTGACAATTGTGTTTTCTCCATTTCTCATTTTTCCAATCTTATGCTCAGTTTACTACTTTGCACCAATATGTGATTTTTTAAAGTCAGCATGTTAATGTGCATTTTTCCTTATTCTTGTATGCATTTCCCCCAAATATAAACATTTTTTAATAAACGATTTCCCATATTGTCAATGTTATGTTCACATTTATACATTTCTTTGCACACTTTCCTCTACAATATACATATTTTGATTGGAGAAGTTCAGAAAAGTGAGAATTTCGAAGGATAGCTGTGTTTTAGTTTGTGTTTTTCTTCAGGAAGTACAAATTAGGCAGGCTCATATTAAAAAGTGAACCAAACCAAAACGAGGCAGGCCAGGGTCTCAAGCAAACCAAAGCAGAGATTTTGCTAATAAAGTCAGAGTTTAAAAAGCATGCAATTATGAACTATGTTAAAGACGGCAGAAAATCAGATTTATGTTTGTGTGTTTAACTGAAGCCCCATTTGGTGATTTTTGGAAGTGCATTTTAAATTGTCAGTTGTTTAGCCTATCCCGATCAGGCATAAGGGATGAAGAATGAAACCAAATAAGTGACCGTTCAAGACTAGTTATGCAACAATGTGAAGGTAGCATGCTAGCCTTTTACTATTTTAAAACTATACCTAATATAAAATAATTCCCCTTTGCTTTGGGATGAGACTCAAATCCCATTGAAATTTATGGATGAATTTCTCTTCCAAGTGATGATGCGTGGTTTGTTGTAAAGAAGAAGATGACATAAATTCAATGTGACCAGCATTATTATTGATTGCTGTAGGTGTACAATCTTGTTTCTGGGAATACAGATGACATCACTGCAACACACTTCAGCACCAAGGTGGGGTGTGTGTATATATATATATATGTCTGTATATGTGTGTTTGCAATAAAAACATAATTTGGCTAATGCCCCACCTCTTATGGCAATAGAAAGTACTGCCATGATAGCCTGATGCAGTACCTCCAACTGCTAGCGCTTTAAATGGTCTGGCGGCCACTGAAACATGAGACTAAACTTGATGATCCAGGAGAGCTGTCAAACTGTAACCAGGAGTCTGCTAATGATGTCAACGTTTCCTTGCAGTCGCTGTAGCAGTCACTTGGGCCGACAGAGTGATCCCTTCAGTTGCCTGGATAATTCCTGCATCTGTGGCCATCTCCATATTTGGCGCCCTCAACAGCAGCGTATTTACACTTGGACGATTGACCTATGCTGGAAGCCAATCCGGACATTTGCCCACCATAGTATCCATGCTCAATGTCCACCACTGGACCCCAGCGCCAGCCATGGTTTTCTCAACTGTTGTTGCGTCCATTTTTATTATCCCATCAGACCTAATTGCTTTAACCAATTATTTTGGCTTCTCCGTTTGGCTGATGATTGGATTAACTTGCACTAGCCTGATTGTCCTCCGCTACCGAGAGCCTAATCTACACAGGCCATACAAGGTAAAAAGAAATGTAAATACCTAATTAATTGCCGTATAAATAACACGCGAGTCTTGCAAGCTTTAAGCTATGCACACTGTAAGCTCAACCCCACTGATACTAGATGGGACATATTTGCATTAGAAATTGCCTTATGCTTAGACAGATGATTGGTTCATCTAGTCTATATTGTATATACTGACCTTTTGGAGGGTCAGGCAGAGGTTTTCTACATAAACCTTTATATAAACCTATATATATATTAGGAGGTGAGCCTACTGAGTGAAGAGCATGCAATTATACGACAGAATTCTTTTTTAACCTTGCCAAAAGACCACATCTTGGTATGGTCCAGAATCACATTTTGCCATTTTGGATAGAATTGTTTTTAAAAGGTAGATCTACACTGCCATCTTAGCCGTGTCTATTCAGAAATAAGTCCTGCTGACTTCAATGGGGCTTGAATTCAGAGAAGTGGAGGTTAGAATTGCAGCCTTGATTGCACGTAGGTGTGTATTACTCTATAAGCAGTGATGCTATGCACATATGAAAAATGGCAGGGGGACCTGTACTGAAAGGGAGACAGGGATTTTACTCAGCTACAGCTGCAGAATCAAAGGCAAATTCTGAAAGTGCAACACCAAACGAATGAGCCATAATGCAACGATAGGTCCAGACAGGACCACTTTGCATCGAGACAAGCCAAGCTTCACATGTGAAAAATGACTGAACAGTTATTTATACCATCCCCAGTGACTGTATGAAGATCACTCAGTACTCAGGAAGTCTGGAGGAAATCTCTTGCATAATGCAGCTCTGGAGAGATTCTGCCTGGGGCTCTTTCAGTTCTTACCACCTGTCCCCCAAAATAGTTGGTCGGCAGCACAAACATCATCTCTGCTTAGAATATGAAACGTATTTTATTTTTCTGCAGGTTTTCCCCCTATGCTTGTTCATATATCTGACATTTGCTTTCCCAAACGCCTTTTCTGTTTTGCAGGTTTTCTTACCTGTCGCTTTCGGGATGGTGGCGATTTCACTGTTTTTAGTTTTAGCTCCTATAGTCTGGTCTCCAAAGGTGCAGTACATTTACGCTTCCATTTTTATGCTTGGGGGTCTCCTCTTATATGTGCCTTTTGTCCATTTTAAAATTCATTTTGCGTTTATTGACAAAATGACTTGCTACCTGCAGCTGTTGCTGGAGGTGTCACCTCCTCATTATAAATCTGAGTAAGGGCAAAGGTTCATACTTGGCTGCCTTTTGTGTGTGTGAAGAACGTGGCTTGGATCTAATGGAATATTGCTTCCTACAACCTTCTCTCCAAGGGGGTGGGGGAGACAGTTGGTTTTAATGCAGACCCACCTAATTTGCATTTCTTGAAACAATACGCAAACTGAAATGCAACTCACTGTTGAAATTTGCACTTCTGATTTTGCAATGCTGTTCTCCAACCCAAAGAAATGTGTACAAAAAATTGTGTAGTAGGGGAAATTATGCAGTAAAATGCATATACCATACCTTCCAACAGCTTGTGTCCCAAAACTGGGGTGCATGTCTTCTCACCTGTGCTCCTGGGTGAGTCAAATGTCCCGCATGAGATCATGGAGCCCAAAATACATGATTTCTTTTGGGAGAGATTTTGCCGCGGAATCTCACGAGATCAAGGCACCCAAATGGCTGCTGTGCTCTCATACAAGAAAATTGGATGCCATATTTTTTTCCTAGAACACTTTCAGGCTACGATATATTCATGAGACTAACACAAAAAATGCATTGTATTCGAGTAAATCAGATACAGAAATATGTATAATAGGAGGAATGCATATTAAATGCAGATGAATTTTTGTGAGATCTTAAAAAAAAAATCCCAAACTGATTTGTAAATATGGTGAACTGAACATAAGATTTGAAAAATGAGAAACAGAGAGAAACTAAAACTGACAAATTTGTCAGTCTGTATTTCTCACTGCATCTCCCTGGAGCCTGGACCACCACCTCAAAGCACAAGTGGGAGAAAGGTTACAGGCTTCAGGAAGCTCCTGCAGCCAATCGGAAGCTGCGGAAGCCCCATTGGATGTTCAGGTTCCAAAAGAACGTTCAAAAACTGGAACACTCACTTTTGTTTTTCGATCGTTCAGGAGATGAAACGTTCAACTCCAAAGGCGTTCGGGAGCCGAGGTACGACTGTATTACTATTATTAAACAACTGGAAGCCAGGAATCTTTGCCTATATAAATCACAGGAATCTACCAATAAAGCCCAGTCTCCAATCTCTCTACCCTTGCTCTATACATTAAGTTGAAAATCTTAATTATTTTGGTCAACTGCCATTTTGCATTCATGGGTGAGTTGACAACTGCCCTGAGGCTTCAAAATGACTCTTTGACCCCCCCCCCATGGGTCACTTGCATGATCCATAAGAAACTATCCAATAACAGGGACATAGAATTTCAGAGGTGCCGTGGATGAGATATAGCTGTTTTGCAATCAAAACCTTGTACACATATCCTGTTTGGATACTTCACCTCTGTTTTTGCGTCACAACAAATTATCCAATAATTTATTTTAATGCTTTGGTTATAGAAAACAGATGGGTGTCCTGAGTTCATATGTTTGAACCAGTCCAGGAGTTACTGCCATAGAAAACTGAACACAAATCATGAGTGTTCATGGACCTGTATATTGTGGCTCTTGCAGATGTTTTGTGTCTGCACTTAAGTGATTCACTTGAGATTGGGAGTGTCAATAGCTAACCCAAAGTTCCATTTCACAAAACAGCAGCCTTAGGTTGTTGTGCGATACATAGGGTGTCCATGGACCTGGATGTGCTTTGCACAAAGTGTGAGATTTCACTAGAAATGCAGCGATGCTACAACAGCGGGACAGGCAGTTATCCCTGAGCAAATAATTGGGTTTGAGATGCCAAGCTTATTTGTAGTTAGGGAGCGCCTAGCGATACGTCCAGCAGATGGCACCACACAAACAATATCTGACCTGAAGTAGTAGGTAGATTATGCAGAACGCAAGAGAAACAGCAGCGACTCATTATTATTATTTTTGCAAGGTAAAAATGTAGATAAATCATTTTCTAGGTCAGGAACTTAAAATCTGTTCGGTCCGTGCCCTGCTTTTGAAACTTTTATGAGCAACTCAGGACCACTTGACTATAAAAGGATATTATTATACCAAAGAATGTAACCATTGAATAATAATTGAGATATAGATGGAATATGTACACACACACACACACACACACACACACACACACACAGTGGTACCTCTGGTTAAGAACTTAATTCATTCCGGAGGTCTGTTCTTAACCTGAAACTGTTCTTAACCTGAGGTACCACTTTAGCTAATGGGGCCTCCTGCTGCCCCTGTGCCGGATTTCTGTTCTCATCCTGAGGTAAATTTCTTAACCCGAGGTACTACTTCCGTGTTAGCGGAGTCTGTAACCAGAAGCGTTTGTAACCCAAAGTGTTTGTAATCCGAGGTACTACTGTATATACTGTATTGAGAGAGAGAGAGAGAGAGAGAGAGAGAGAGAGAAGTCAATCCCCAAGATTCTATCAGAAGTAAACAGTGTCACTGTCACCCCGGTGAGATGTCACTGCCTGCGAGGTCTGAAGGTACAAGGCCACCACTTGGCTGAAGCTAAGCAGGTCTGGGTTGGGTTAGTGCCTGGGTGGGGGACCACCTGAGAGCCATATGCATGCCACGCTGCCTTCTGCTCCATGACAATACATCATATCCCTGTAGGTCAAGGCCAACATAGATGGTCGACTTTGGGCAAGCTGTAGTGACAGGAGGATGCTATGTTAGAGAGCCCTTAGTTTTTCTGCTGGGTCCCTAGGAGACAGAAATGCCTGGAAAGCCACTGTGTCCTGGTTGCCTGGCTACTTCTGCATCTGAATTGAAGGTAGCCAGAGCGCACAGCTCCTTCATTCTGTGGCAGGTAAATACAGGGAACCATGTGTGGCATTGTGACGTTAACATATGAGAGTGCTGGAGGTGAAATAGTTAAACAAGTTACCCAATCAGAACCCAGGGGGTGGAGTCAGAGGGACTATAAAACCAGCTCTGGGAGGGGCGAAGGAGGAGTTCGTTGGGAGTTGGGTGGTTGGTTGTAGTGGGAGTGAATTGGGATAGAGTCTGTGGGGAGGTTGAGTTAGTGTAGCGAAATAAACTGAGTCAGGAACAGTTAGGAGCTAGGAAGACAAGTAAATATCTGAGAGGTGGTTTAGTGAGTGAGAGCAGGTAGTGGAAGTTATAGGTCTGGATAGGCACCCCATGATTGTAATGGACCGATACCGTTTATGAAACCACATGCTTGTTAAACTGCAATAAATAAACAGAAGTTTATGTTTCAATTTAAACCTGACTGGACTCAGTATTGTACCAGGTAGGGCCTGGGTGATGGCAGCGAGAAATAAAGTGGTGACACAGGGATCAACAGACGGTGAAACGTCTGAGGACCCTGTGTGATCGCCACAGGCATCATGCTTGCATTGCAGACCTGTAGGGGCTGCAGAAACCATCCAACTCTTGGGGTTTCCTCTGAGACAGTTGTGACACTGTACACTGGCACCAACTCAGTGGGCACTTTCAATTGGTTTTTAACCATCACGAGCAGCAGTTACATTTTTGGGGGTAGTGGGGAAACTCAAAAAAGAACTGCATGCACAAGCCTCATTAAATTCCTAAAAAATACAGGAAGATGAAAGGGAAACATCAAAATTAATGGGACACTGCATGGCAGACAAATTACAATACCCCTGGGAGCATTCAAATGGGTACTTGATGATGGGTAATAAATAACCACAGCAGTACTGTAAATAGCAATATCCATTATATAAGCGATCATCGCAACACTGTCAGAATGATCGAAAACAATAATGTTATTTTAGCAAACTGCCTGATCAGGCTGAGATCGTGTAAGTTTAATGAAATGCAAACGGCAACAGACTAGAAGATGAACTGGTTCAGAACAGGAAATTCATCCCAACTCATAAATCCATATCAGATCAGTAGTAAAGCAGATCTTGATAAATCCTAGAGTTACTCACTGGCCACAAGATTTGCTGGACTCAATATTTGCCAACTTAGGCATGTGAAAACTTCACCTGAATCACCCACCCACCTTGTGATTAGGCTGCAAACACAGCTTATGCGTGCCTCTGATAAATACTTTCCCACCTCTAATCCCTCATCCACACAATACCGTTTGTTACAGCACAGTTTTAATCTGAACTAGCACTTTTAAAAGAATCCATAGAAAGTGACCTCCGTTCATACCAAGGACATCACGCTTCATTGTATTTTTTCCAGTCTTCCAATTAAAATACCAATTAAAATATTTGGCCAGGATAACCTTAGATCAATAACAGACGCCTAAGAGTCGGAAATTCTGATTCAATGTAAGGCTGCAGCACAGCAGTAATAGACCTTTCTCCACCAAGAACTCAAATGTTGAATAAATGTAGTCCCATTAAAATAAGCATTTCTTTTGAGCATTTGAAAATGTAGCTAATTCCTCTATGGGGAAGCTGGGCATAAACTTGAGTTGTTTAATTTGTGACCTCTTGAGCCTTGTTGCTGATCAGGTTATTTAGAGGTTAATCACACAACTGTTGGTACCACACAACTGTTCTTCAGCAATATATAACTGAAAATAGTGCAAGCAGAACAAGAATATCTGCATTTATATTTTATTATTTCAGAATGTATTCTCTCTTCTACTAGTTATAGCAGAACTACATATGGTATTGGAACCTATTCCCATTAAAAGCAGGTATCTTACAATCAACCACTCATTTTTCCTGATTTCAACAAGCTTTGTCTAACAGGAACAGGGACAAGAAGCATGTGACTTTCCAGATAGTGTAGGACTCCAACTCCCACAAGCCCCAGCCAGCTTGCCCAGTGGTCAATGTTGATGGGAGCTGTAGTGCAACAACATCTGGTGGACTATGGGTTCTCCATCCCTGTATTAGAGATACAGTGGTGCCTCGCAAGACAAAATTAATCTGTTCCGTGAGTCTCTTCGTCTTGCGGTTTTTCCGTCTTGCGAAGCATGGCTATTAGCGGCTTAGCGGCTATTAGCGGCTTAGCGGCTTAGCAGCTATTAACGGCTTAGCGGCTTAGCGGCTATTAACGGCTTAGCGGCTTAAAGAAAAAGGAAACAAACTCGCAAGAACTCGCAAGACGTTTCGTCTTGCGAAGCAAGCCCATAGGGAAATT